GGTTGCTCGGAACTAGGTCAACCCAAGAGTGGGATGAAGGTAGGTCGGACAATCCCAAATAAGCTTCCTTGTAAGAGGTATCCTTCATCCTACCTACATTCATGCCTCTTTCGAGGCCTCCCAACTCTTACGAAACCGGTCACGTAAGTCCGCTACCCCTAAACCCCAAAGCCATTGTTGCACTGAGCAATAAACCCAATCTTCGAGAACCGGTTTTCTGTCCATGCAGGAGCCCTGGATTCACCAAAGCCCTTAAAACCCTCGACCCTAAAGGACCTACTTGGAGGATCAGGGGACTTAGTAAGTAAGGTCATAAGTACCTGAATTGGGGTTATAAGTAGTTATGAGTATAGTTACCCTAATCATAACCCTAGTTACGAGGTCCTATGATCCTTCAAGTATCCTTTGTTGGGCTTCCTTATGATGGGCTCCTCATGTACCTCCTACCTTTACACAGGATCCAGGTAAACCCTAATATAGGGGCCTTGATGGCTAGCATAGGGTCTCTGGCCCATTATACTATAAATATAGAACCCCCCCAAATAGAATAGGTATTTATTTTGGCCCCTACATTAAGCCCACTTTAGTCGGATCCAGGTAAACCCTAGGCCCTCAAGCCTACAACCCTAAACCCCTAAGCCCTAAACCCTAGGCCCCTTTCAGCCACCCCTGAACCTCCAAGCTTTAGCCCGAGCTTCCAGAGATGCTTTTGCTTCACAGAGGCTGCTACAGCGGTTTTTATCGGTGCGCTTAGCGGGGGGGGGGTCCTTTGAAGGGATCCACAAGGGTTCTATATGGGACCTGCGTTGGGCTGTCGGGTTACTTTAGCATAGAACCTTCAAGCTACGGTTCACAGAGTTTTATGCTTGGGGGCGCAAAGCGATGGGTTTTTCTGACGGCACAGGATGTGTCTCAAACCCTAACTCTAGATCCCTTTCAGCTAAAGCAAAAGATTGGAGGCGGGCGAACTGTGGGGTTCTTAGCTTGTACATGAACAAACCCTGAACCCTGCATTGCGGAAACAAGATTGCTCGGTTTGGCAACACCGTGCTGTGAAGCTTGTGCAGTTCGGGAGGCGCTAACCCTAATATTTATGGATATCGAATGGAAAGTCTACTGGAAGTTTGCTATGATGTACCCCTGAACCCTATTCTACCTATTGAAACCCCTACTCCCCAACTTTAAACACTTAATCCCTCCTGGATCCCGCAAGCAACCGTTCAAAGAGACCCTATTCCAAACGTTCAGGCCATTACTACCTAGACCCCCCTAACTACCCTCTAATATACCCCAAATACCTGCAATTAAGGGCTAGTAGGGCTCCATTAAATGGCCATTGGGGTGTCCGGGTACCCAGAGGGCCCAATACCCTTCGATTAAGGAATATAGCTTAAATCATAACATGAACCCCCTTATAATTTCAGGCATGTTCCTAAATTGAGGGGTATTAGAATCCCCTAAACCCTAAGCCTATAGATCCCTTAAAGGAACCCTAGGTATTCCTTAATTAAGGGGTAGTGGGCTCTCTGGGTAGATTTCCGTCAAGCTTTGCCGCCCCGCAGGTCCTCCTTTGACTGGGCGAAGCGTGTACAGGATGCGCACCAGAAGAGGAGCCATATGGGAGTTTCCGAAAATAGGGGACCCTAATGTAGCACCCTGAATAGTAGGATCCTTATTATAAGGACCCCCAAATAAGGTACCCCTAATTTTCGGCATCCCATATAGCGAAATGAGGTTTGGGTGCAGGATTTGTTGCTTCATCGCTGGTGTTTCAGCATTTGGGGTTCAGGATTTCGGATGCGCTCTACGACTTGCAGATCTAGGGTGTATAGGAATGTAGCAGGTTTGACCTCGGAATAGCATGTTTAGCATATAGGATGGTGAGATGCAGCAGCTTCCTAAACCATAGGTCAGTGACTTAGGGCTTGTAGGAATTGATGTTATTTGCTACAGCAATAGTCAGAAAGTTGGAGCACAAGTATCGTCATGCCCTGGAGGAGCAGCGTCGTGAATCCCAGCAGTAGTGATCCTAAACACGCGTTCTCACCAAATTCAAAACTTTGCCCTGCTCCCAAGTCTGGTCGTATAAGGTTCATTCTTGTTTTCTGTATAAACCTTACTGTTTTTGACGGGGCAACCTGTGGTACAGGACCAAATTTGGACGTTACTCTTTTCAAGAGAGTAAGGTGAGACATGAAAGCTTTTAAACGCTAAACCCTGAACCCTGAACCCTAAACCAATCATGCCTGTTCGTCATTTTTTTGCACCTTACTTCCGCGGCCGCCGTGCGGTGAGTAAGTTTCAAACGTTTCCTGCTAAAGCAGTTACCGCTTTAACAGTTGAGGGTGGCTGTATTGTTGGTGTTTGAGCTCAGGCTGACGAGCCCCAATGCTTAGGGGCGAAACATGTTTCAGCGCATAGCGAATCTTTCCATTTCATAAGAAAAGAGTGCTTGGTTGCTGCCTTGGATTGATCTCTTCACACTACGAGCCTGGGAGGGAATTATAAGAGTAAGCTGAAGAAGCTTGGGAGGGAATTATAAGAGTAATGTGAAGAAGCCTGGGAGGGAATGATAAGAGAAAGGTGAAGAAGCCTGGGAAGGAACTGTAAGGTGAAGAAGCCTGGGAGGGAATTATTTCCTGTAATAAATTATTATGGTAAACAATGGACTGACTCACTTGGGCTGTAGGACACCTGGGTCTAAAGCACCTGGCAGCCGTCAAAAGCCGAAAACTGCTAAATTTGACGGCCCGAGGGCCGGAATGCAGCAAAACCGTACAGTAAAGGACGGAGTATGACTATATTCAATATAGTCTAGGCCAACAAGGACAATTTTTTCGCATCGATCGCTTTCAAAACCCATACGAGCAGGTCGATTTGCACTTGTTATTGCATCCGCTTGGTTTTTTGAATTCTTTTTGCGGTACAGATTTCGGCTTCGAGACCCCCATTATTTTAGAAAGCACTGTGTTGCAGAGCAACCTGTGGTCATCTACTTGGCTTTTTTGCTGGGGAGGGGACATTTTTCAAGAATTTTTCGCAGGGTCATTTTAAATGGTGCGTGACAGCCAAATACTTAGTAGCTTATAGTCCGGTTCGAGCGGAAAATTATCGAAAGCGTCCCGCCCCTCATCCGATTTCCACTTTGTCATTGTAGAAGCCAAAGTCCATTCCAGGCTATTAAGTGAGCAGTGGATACACCCCTGATAGGTTTTCGCTGGTATTGGGACACTTTCTATTTTGCTTTTAGAGTAAGATTGAAAATGTAGCGTTGAACCCTTAGAGTAAGGTTGAAAATTTATCATAATTTGAACCTTACTACAGAAAGAGAGAGAGAGAGAGAGAGAGAGAGAGAGAGAGAGAGAGAGAGCGACCGAACCACAGAGTAAGGTCCCAATGGCTGGTAATGGGACACCTTCTGTTTGGCTTTTAGAGTAAGATGGAGAATGCACAGTTGAACCCCTAGAGTAAGGTTGAAAATGTATGATAATTTGAACCTTACTACAGAGACAGAGAGAGAGCGACAGATCCACAGAGCAAGGTCCAAATGGTCCTGCTGCACACGATGTCGCTGGCTGGCTACTCAGATTTGTAGCTATCTGCTGTTCTCGTTGAAAGAAATGCTTCAGCTATGTTTGGGAACCTTGTTCCCGCAGCCGCTTACGCAGAAGCATTTGCATCAGCCTCGCAACCTGTTTCGTCCAGCTCTTACCAGGCACGGTCAGTAAAGGAAGCTGAAATACAAGTTTAATGGTTATCTAATCAGAAATCCAGGCATGTCTATCCTCGCCAAGCAGCTGAACTTGGGCTCGGAGGAGGACCTCTTTGCGTTGGCCATCGCGACGTCGCTTGAGGACTGCGATGTGCTCTCCAGGCCAGTGGAGAAGTTGGATGGGGCGCTCGCCACAGAACACATGGAGCGCTATGAGGCACTGCGTGTTGAACCTTACTCTTCTCTGTCCTTCTGTGTTGCTGGGGTGAAAACGAGTATGCAGGTGCCAGGGGATGGCAATTGCCAATTCGTCGCACTCGCGACCTCCGCAGAATTGGCTGGCCTGACCCTGGGTGACGGCGCCAGTGTAAGGCGCAAGGTTGCCAGGGAACTGGCTCGGAATGAAGCCAGGTACAGGGACAGTGTGTACGGCTACGAGCAGTATTCCAAATTTGTGGAATACATCGAGAAGGCAGGGAACTGGGGCGATCACGTTAGCCTCCAAGCATTCGCCAACGTGTACTCCATTCGTACCTGGTTCTGTTTCGAAACCTTACTCTTTGACTTGCTGTGAAACTTAGTATGTGTTTAAACTGTTGTGTTGAACCTTACTCTACAGCATTCGTAGACATGAAAGGCGTCCTCGTGTACTACGCTGGACTTGGCAATCGCTTGTCGCACCACGAGATCGTGCCCAGCGACACTGCTTCGCACGACACGGTCTACATTTCCTTTATGCCGGAATGGCATTACGACGCCCTGACATGGCGTGAGGAAGAGAAGAAGGGGTACACTGGCTACGACCTGTCTTCCCGAAAACCCGGGAAAACGCATTCCAAGAATTTTTACGCCTTGAAGCAGGATAGACAGGGCGGCTTTTAGGGAGTAAGGTTTGAAAGGCGGTTTTCGAAAGGGCGATGAAAGTTAGTGCCGCAGGAGCAGTTGGTGGCCGGGGAGTACGACCGGATGCTAAAGCTGCTCACATCCACAGTGGCTAAAGGGGGCAAGCGCAAGATCATTTGTGGTCAGCACACGGCCAAGCTGCACATCAAGAACCTTCTCTTGTGCTTGGGCTTCAAGAACCTGCTTTTGAAAGGTGTAGTTGCTTGCAATTGCCTCTGAGGTACATGGGCTGGCTGGACAAGACCGGCACCATTGTTTTCGAAGACGGCCAGGAAATTCTTGTCGCTTGAACTTTACTCTTCTTTGGAGTCTTGTTCCTTCGGTTTTGAACCTTACTCCTCCGCCAAATCTTCAGCAGGACAAGACGTAGAGCTTGGAAACCGTCATGAAGCGGGACCTGCTGAGCAAGTACTTCGAGCACTTGCAGGACGACAAGTCTGCCCGCAACCAGAAGTTCTCCCCGGGATATGTAACCTTGCAAACAAGGTCCTTCTGCGTGCTGATAGATGCCTGCTTCCCACGTGGGGGCACCAAAAACAAGCGCAGCAGGGAGCGGATGCTCGAGCATGTCAGGGCCCTTGGAAAGACCGTGTCCCTGAAACGAGCACAGGAAGGGGCCGGTGTTCCGGATGTTCGCGGTGGTACCGACCTTGAGGAGCCTTTAACGGTGCCGCAGACTGTGGCTTCGTGCTACAATTGGCAAAAGAAAATCAAGAACCTGGTGACCAAAATCTCCTTGCTGGATGTAACGACCCCAAAGAGCAATCGCAGGTACATGAAGTACAAGCTTGCATCGCTCCGCGCTGCCATGCTTGTGTTTGGTTTTATTTTCCAAACTACGGAGCGGTTGCAGACAGCTCACAAGCTAGCCGCTCCATGCAATCTAGATAAAAGCTTTTCAACCTTACTCTGTGTTTTTAAACCTTTTGGTTGTTCTTTCGAACCTTACTCTGGTCAGGTGCTTGGCCGCACTTTGTTCTGGGACGAGGAGCGTGCGGCATATTTCACTGTGCCTCTGGGAGAGCAGCCGCGCAAGACCGAGAAATCCAAGCGGATGAAGCGCGGCTACTTTGTCGCAAAGAAGCCCCTGAGCACCGCTTGGTCCGAGCCGATGAACGATTACCTCTCCGTGGATTTGCCTCTGTTGAAAAAGTATTTCCAGAAGCTTGAAGGTGCTCTCCTCCAGCCGCCAAGGAGGGAGGGCGAGGAAGCGCCCTTTCTTCTGTTCGATTACGATGCCCTCATGAAGTTGGTAGGCAAGGTCGGCCGTGCCAACGTGACCGAGATCCGAGCGGCCGTGGAAGCGTTCCTCTTGACGGGGGGGCGAATTTGGAGCAATTACGGCCGAGGCGAATTCTTTGCAGGTTTTTCTGGGGCACTCGGCCCAGGTGAGTGCCAAGCACTATCACCTGCAAACGACAAACCGAATCACCAAGAAGTTGCACCAGGCTTTGGATTCTTCTTTGTCGAAGTAGCCAAGAAAGTCGCCGAGCTCCAGTTGTACAGCTCGCGGGCGGCACCAATGGCCAGTAGGACACCTTGTTTTAGCTGAAAAGTGGAAGGATGACAGACCCAAAAATACATGATGAATCTCAGTGGATCGTATCACAAAGGATACTGTCAGCACTTACAATACCTGGATTCAGCCAAATGCTTCGACAAAACAGGGAGTGAAGCTCTGTTGCGCTTGCTTGCTCTGGCTGTTAGTTCTTTTCAACTTACTCTTTTTCTGCCTCTGATGTCCTCGTTTTGCTCAGGTCGACTTGTGCTCCTTGGTCTGGGGCCTTAGCTTTTCGGCCTTACTCTTGGTCCTTCCCCCTTGCTGCACTCAGGTCCGCCTCTGTTCGCTTCTTCGTCCTACGTGGTCGGGGCCTTGGCTTTTCAGCCTTACTCTTGGTCTCTCCCCTGCCCCCCCCTGCCCTGCTGCATTCAGGTCCGCCTCTGTTCGCTTCTTCCTCCCGCGTGGTCGGGGCCTTAGCTTTTCAGCCTTACTCTTGGTCTCTCCCTGCCCCCCCTGCCCTGCTGCATTCAGGTCCGCCTCTGTTCGCTTCTTCCTCCTGCGTGGTCGAGGCCTTAGCTTTTCATCCTTACTCTTGGTCTCTCCCCTGCCCCCCTGCACTCAGGTCTGCCAGTGTTTGCTTCTTCGTCCTGAGTGGTCGGGGCCTTAGCTTTTCAGCCTTACTCTTCCTTGTCTTCTGGTCGCATTTTCATTGTCAGCCTTTTGCACCTTACTCTTCCCTGTCTTTTCATTGTGAGCCTTTTGCACCTTACTCTTCCTTGTCCTCTGGTCGCCTTTTCACTGTCAGCCTTCTGCACCTTACTCCGCCTTATCCTCTGGTCGCCTTTTCATTGTCAGCCTTCTGCACCTTGCTCTGCCTTGTCCTCTGGTCGCCTTTTCTAACTGCTTTAGCAGGAAACGTTTGAAACTTACTCACCGCACGGCGGCCGCAGAAGTAAGGTGCAAAAAAATGACGAACAGGCATGATTGCGGGTAAGGTGCAAAAGAAAAGGACGTCGTTTGAATAAGGTTCAGAAACAGGCGGAACCGCTACAGATAAGGTTCAAAAGGAATAAAAAAGGACCGCCGGTAGGAGTAAGGTTCAAGCTTTGACAAGTTTTTAAACCTTACCAACTTAGTATAAGCTCCCAAGTCTGGTCGAGTTAGGTTGTAGGGCTTGGGGTTTAGATTTTAGGGGGCTGTGTTACTTAAAGGATCATGGGACTTAGTAACTAGGGTTATATTTAGGGTAACTATACCTACAACTACTACTTATAACCCCAATTGAAGTACTTATAACCTTACTTACTAAGTCCCATGATCCTTTAAGTAGGGCCTTCTATTTTAGTACCGTGCGAGAGCCTACACGCTCGCGGGTGCTCATCGCGGCGCTCGCAGGGTTGGCGCTCGCAGGGTTTTGGGGTTTGGGATTGAGGATTTGGGGGGTTTGGGGTTTGGGATTGAGGATTTGGGGGTTTGGGGTTTGGGATTAAGGATTTGGGGGGGGTGTTAGGGTTTGGGGTTGAGGATTAAGGATTTCGGGGGTTTGGGGTTTGGGAATCCTTCTAAATGCCGTACCCCGAACCCTAAGCTGCTGAACAACTGCCCTGAAAGCCTTGCTAAACCCTTAAACCCGAAGATCCTGAGCTTCTGAAAAGTGGCTTACAGGAGCCCAGAAGAGTGGAGTCGTGTGCTCAAGCAGTTGGACAGCGCCCGCGAGGCATCGCAGGTTTAGCGGGTTGGGGTTTAGGGTTTAGGGTTGGGGTGGCGACCCAAAGCCCACAACTCAAAGCGAAGCGGAAACCCTAAACCCTAAACCGAATCGGATGCAGCCCCTGGCTCTTGGAGTCTGTTTGGGCCGCACACTCCCGCGTTGTCAGACGCTCTAAAACCCCATCGTCCGTCAAATCTGGGGCCCCTTTAGGCACGTTCCCAGACTAATAGGGTGCCGTCTTGAAAAGCAGAACTATACAGGGCCCCCCAGAAGGGAGTAAAATTTTGACGGTTGTCTAGATGCTGTGGCTGCAAGTTAAGAGAGATGTTGTTTGTTGCCGCTCTTTCAAGGCACGCCATGTTGCTGGTGATGAAGAAGATGTTCGATTCAATGCTCAGCAAGCAGCAGGCTACTACAACCCCGCATCCGCAAAGCGTTGCTGGAAGCAGATTGTGAGCACTGAGGATCCATGGACCCAGTAGGTGCTTTTAGCAGTGTAGAACCCAGCGAGTAAGTTCCAGACCAGCATAGCCAGGAGGTTAATGGCTTTTCAGCCTTGCTAAATGGATCCGGATACTTCGCAAGCAGGTTATAGTGCTCGCAGAACCCGTGCCAGAGGATCGGGAACATGGCTCAGGAAAGATATCTCCACTTTGAGTGCTTGAAATACGCCGTTTTCTTCATCGTAATTCCTCGACCCTGCACCTATGACTCGCAATCCGATAATCCTTCGTCATCCCCACACACGCCCGGCCGGGACCCTACGGAACCCTAACATGCAAAATAGCTTAAATCCCTTAAACCGCGGATGTCGTTTAGAACCCCCAAACCCAAACCCTGTACACTTGTTTGGCCTTGTAAGCCCTCGCACGACCCTCAAATTCAAAACGCCCGTATTCCGTAAGTGCTATGAGTTCAGTCTTAAACGTAAGGCCTTGCACCCTTCAACTAAAACTACGATTCCCTACATGGGTGGTTGTCAAAATTATGGCCCCTTTTTGGGTACCATAAGGTGCCATACTATAATAGGGACCCAAAAAGGGACTCTAATTTTGACATCCGCCCACATGACAATCGAACCTTGAATCCTGTCGTTGGGATGCACTTCGCCCTCTAGACACAAGCCTCACAAAGCCGTTGCAAATCCGATTAACAACCCTTACAAGACCCTCGTTTACATCCGTACATTCACGGAAGAAGCCCTTGAAACACCCTGTAGAATCCCTGAAAAACAAGACCGCTGCCGTATCCGTATCCGTATACCGCCCTACACCCTAAGCCACTACACCGACCCAAGCCCTAAACCCTTAAAACCCTTGAGTCGAGACCCGAAACCCTAAACCTTAAATTCCTGTCCCACGAGACTACTGAGACGTCGACCTCGGCTGCAGGTGGAACGCCAGTCCCGGAAAGCGAAGGCTTATAAGGGCTTATAGTCTGGGATGTGGGTTCTGCAGTTCTGGCTTTGGGGCTCTACAGCTTCAGGGTTTAGGTTTAGGAGCATGGGCATTTGTTGGCCTCCACTCCGCGTTTTTGCTCTTGATTTACATACCTTCAGGGTTTCCGGTAACTCCAGGGACCCTAACATCAGCCCAAAACCCCTAAACCCTAAACCGTGTTGCATGGGTCATAAGGGGTGCCCAGAAAGCCGGCAAGCCTGTAACTGAATCACTACCTAGAGGCTCCATACTAGTTCCTTGTTTGTGGTTCATATTTAGAATCCTATAAGGTAATCCCCAAAAAGGAACTTTTATGGAGCCTGTGGGTATGCAGAAGATCAGTAAATCCCGGTATCATGCCGCAAAAGACCTTCGCATAAAAGTGATGATTTCTGAAGCTTTGCACACACCCTTGTAGCCCCTGTAGAGCTTTACTATTATATATCCTCTGATATGACCCTCAAGCTTGTGATTTTGCTCAGGGCCCTATGCTAAGCCTTGCAAAAACCTCAAGAGCTCCTTACTACTGTATCAAGTCCACCGAATCCTGTTAAAATCCCGACCTTAAACCCCAAACAAATCACCCCAAAACCCTAAGCCTGTAAACCTTAAACTTCCCAAGCTCATAAACCCCAAACAGATTCCTCTAAACCTTAAACCCCTCAACCCTAAACCCCCAAAACCCCTAAACGCTAAGCTTCCCAAGCCAATAAACACCCCAAACAGATCCCTCTAGACCCTAAACCCCTCAACCCTAAACCCCTAAACCTTAAACCCTAACAGATCCCTCTAGACCCTAAACCCCTCAACCCAAAACCCCTGAACCCCTAAACGCTAAACTTATATACCAAGCCAAGAAACACCCCAAACAGTTCCAGGGGTCCTTATGAGGGCTCCTCAAGCCTAGCCCTTTGAAGAGGATCCGGCAAAGCCCCAAACAGATCACCCTAAACCCTAAACACTAACCCCACCCCTCAACCCCAAACAGATCACCCTAAGCCCTAAACCCCAACCCGCAAAGCCCCAAGCAGATGCCCTTGAGGCAGTGAAGAAACATCTTAAACCCCTCAATCCTAAACCCCTAAACCCTAAACTTCCCAAGCCAATAAACATGGTTGAACACTCTGAATACTGCTTTGCTACGATTTCTGGGAGAACTATGTGCTTTGACTTGCTCGTGTGGTACTGCTGATGGACAAAATCCTGCATGACCCTAAGGACTCTAAGCTATGGGAACTATGGTATATTCCTTGTAATGGCTGATGCAGGATTTTGTCCATCAACAGTACTAAGAGCTAGCACCCCAAGCAGATGCCCCTGGAGGCAGTGAAGAAACATCTTAAACCCCTAAACCCTAAACCCCTAAACCCTAAACCCCTAAACCCAAAACCCCAAACCCCTAAACCCCTAAACCCTAAACCCTAAACCCTAAACCAATAAAATCGCTGGAGGCAGTGAAGAAACATGCCATCCGCTCCCGAGCTCTCGCTGCAGAAGGCAGAGTGGTGCTATCTGCAGGAGTTTCGAGGGCTCGGGTAGCCTTTTAAAGGGATAGGGTTTAGGGTTTTGGGTTTAGGGTTTTGGGTTTAGGGTTTAGGGCTTAGGGTTCCTTGTAAAGGGATCCTTTAAGGGGTTCCTTTAAGGGCTCCTATAAGGCATCTATAGGGTTTAGGGTAAGCGGGATTTCCGAAAATTAGGGGTACCTTATTTTGGGGTCCTTATAATCAGGATCCTACCAGTTAGGGTACTATACTAGGGCCCCTATGTTCGGAAACTCCTATAGGGTGTAATGCAGGATCTATATCGGTTCTATAAGGGATCTATAGGATTTAGGAGTTCAGGGTATAGGGTTTATTAATGTAGGAACCTGATTAGGAAACCTTGGGCCTTTATTAGGGTTCCTTAAATGAATCCTACGATTTTGGGGTTATAGGGCCAGGGTTTCTTAATCAGGCTCCTACAGTAGGGTGTAGAGCCTGGGGTTTAGGGCCTAGGGTTTAGGGTCTATAGTTTAAGGAAGAGGGGCTTAGGGTGGGGTTTGATGTCGAAATCGGATCTAGGGCTGTGGGATCTAGGAGGAGCAGACCATGGCTTGCGGTTTCGGGCGTGGGGTTTCGGGTTCATAATTTTCTTCAAGGCTTTGGGATGTAGGCATGACATGCATGAAAGGTGCCAGAGCTCAGAGGAAGGCCAGCCCATCCCCGCAAAACCTGGTGTAGTTTGCTCTGAACCCTAAACCCCTAAACCCTAAAGACCCCGAAACCCTAACGACCCCTAAACCTTAAAACCTTAAAACCCATCCCCACGAAACCCGGTGTAGTTTGCTTTAAACCCTAGACCCCAACCCTCAAGACCCTCAAACCTTAGACCCTAAAACCCTAAGCCCATCCCCACCAAACCCACTGTTTTTGCATCAGGTCTCCGTCAGATGTCCATGGCGCCTGCATCAGCCCCTTTGCTGCAACTCTTCAGGGACTTTAGTGTTCAGGGTTTAGGGACTTTAGTTTTCAAGGTTTCGGGACTTTAGGGTTTAGGGTTTAGGGTTGTTGCTGCAACTGCATAGACCGTCGGATTCAGGGCTTTCGGATTTAGGGCCCTGAAGGTCCATGTGCCCAAACGGTATATGGGAGTTTCCGAAAACCCTTTAAGGGTTCCTTTAAGGGTTCTTATAAGGGATCTATAGGGTTTAGGGTTTAGGGTTTGGGAGTTTCCGAAAATTAGGGTACCTTATTTTAGGGCCCTTATAATAAGGATCCTACTATTTAGGGTACTA